GGAACTTTGTTTTTGAGGTAAGATGGTATTTCTTTATGGCTACAATGCTTTATTGAGTGACCATGAAAGACATTTGAAGAGTATGGGTATCTCCAGAACTGGTATGCAGGAGTGTTTTAAGTAAAACCGGTGAAAACTTGAAGGCCAGTTAAGATTAATGCTTATGTGAATTCCATTTTGTCTGGATTGACAGGATGGCTTATTTTGGACATATCTTGATGTGTGCAGTATAAGCATGTCCTTCCTTTAGCCTGCCTGTCACTATTTTCTTAGAAAGTGATCCTGCTTTTATATTAGCAACTTTCAAAAGAAGTTACTGGGCTGTGTTTTAGAATTTAATAATGCAGTTTATTTTAATCAGCTTTTTTTTTGCTGCTGTGACCAAAAGACCTGTCAAGAACAATTTTAGAAGAGGAAAAGTTTATTTTGGGGCTCACAGTTTCAGAGATCTCATTCTATAGATGTCTGGCTCCATTGCTCTGGGCTCAAGGTGAGGCAGAACATCATGGCAGAAAAGTGTGGTGGAGGTTAGTATCTCAGGACATGGCCATGAGGAAGCAGAGAGAGATTAAATTTGGCTCACCAGGGACAAAATATGTACCTCACAGGCACATCCGCAATGATCTTCAGCCACACCCTACCTGCCTACAGTTACCACCCAGTTAATTCCTATCAATAGATTAATGCACTTACTGGGTTAAGGCTCTCGTAACCCAGTCATTTCACCTCTAAACTTTCTTGCATTGCCTCACACACGAACACCCGTGGGTCATTTGCGAACCATAACACTTATTTATGTTTAATGATTCTGTGTTATTTTTAAAGCATTTGTCAGAAAGATTTGCAATTTGGAAAGGCTTTGTAGCTGCTATTTTTCAGTGTTGCCTCCTTAACTTATACAACATAAGATCTATTAAAAAATAATTTGGGGGTAGCTTAAAACTGTTGATTTCACAAATTTACTTTAATCCTGTTTGAGCTCTGATACTTGGTTTCCAGCCTTTTAGTCTTTACCATCTTAGAGGTTTAAACATTTAACACCAGATAGGATATTAGGACATGACTACATATAGTATACAACTATGTTTATATTTTTGTAATTTCTGTAGGTAAAAGTTTTCTCCGAATGCCAGATCCTTTTATGATAAATCAAGCTCAATGTTCTGATCAGCCACAGGGTAAAATAGAAAATTTAATTGAAACTTTTTTGGGGGGGAGGGATACCAGGGATTGAACTCAGGGGCACCCAACCATTGAGCCACATTCCCAGACCTATTTTGTATTTTATTTAGAGGCAGGGTCTCACTGAGTTGTTTAGCGCCTCACCTTTGCAGAGGCTGGCTTTGAACTCGCCATCTTCCTGTCTCAGCCTCCTGAGCCACTGGGATTACAGGTGTGCTCCACTGTGACCTGGCCCAATTAAAACTAAATGTCATTCAATGTCAGTTTGTGGGTAATGTTATTCTTTTAATTCTTATTTTAATGAGTTCTGTTTAAATTATGGAGAGCTCTATTATTTATCCTGTGAGAAAAGACATATGCAGCTGGCCTTGTTTGAAGTGTTTTAGACTGCTGGAAGACAAAGTCTTTATTTTGGGACTCTTTTAAGGTGACTCTGCTATTTTTTATTACTTTGCATATTTAGTTTTGTTATTCCATTAACAGTAAGTCAGACTGTGAAGTGTTTGAAGTTTTCTACGTTTCCTTGGCTACCCCTGACCACAACAGACAGGCATGTTCTCTCGTCTAATGAAAGGTACAGTGTCTGATGTATTTCTCTGATTTTTTTGTTGGTTCATAGCCATTAAATCTGGCAGTTATTAGTATATATTTTCAGCTAAAAATTTATTAAGTTGTGTGAAAATAGCAGTGATTGTATGATTTTCTGTATTTTAAAAAGCAAGCCAGAAAATTCCCATTTGTTTTTAGTCAATCTACATATTCAGATTGTTTCTCCCTCTCCCTCCCTCCCCCCTCCCCCCACCCCGCTCTCATCTCTGTCTCTCTTTAGGTATTGGTGTTTGAACCCTGGGTTAATCTGCCACTGAGTCACAGCCTCAGTCCTTTTTTATTATTTTGAGAATGGGTCTCCTTAGGTTTCTGATGCGGCATGGAACTTGCACTCTTCCTGCCTCAGCTTCCTGAGTTGCTGGGATTATGACCCTGTGCCACTGTGTAGGGCCCACTTCTTTTTTGTGGTTAGAATTTTAAATAGCCCTTCAGAACATATTTTTTAACCAGCTTCTTTGGCCTTTCCTTCTGCCCCTGATTAATACATGAAATGGAGAAATTAGACATAAATTTATTCTATTTGGTAGAACATATTTCAAAATACCAGCTTCATTAGGAGAAAAATTTACTATGTTGAGAAGGCTGGGTACTACTGATGTAATGTTATGGATATTCATTGTTGCCTTCAAAAGTAGATCGCTAAAATATAGAAGTTTGAAGCATTTTAATGTCCAGATTCATTTAGTGTGATTTCATTGAATGCAGCAATAAAGGAGTTGTCTGCGGTTTTTTTGAGTATGAATCTGGAAAATAAAGAAAAACATGCAGTTAGAGTTGGGGCTTGATACATGTGGATGCTATTAAATGGTTTTTGATGATATCACTTCAAAGGCATCAGTTTTCTTGGGACCAAATATTTAAGAGTAGAGTGTCCCTAGGAAAGGGCCAGGGGTTGTTTGATCTGTTGGTTCTGAGTTAGTCCCTAAGGAAGAGGTCATGAAAGTTTCTAGTGCTCACCTTCATGTGCTGGACTGGATTCAGGGAAAGGGGTTTGATTTCTTAGGGTGGAAGGTGAACAATTGCTACATCCCTAGTGGGTAGGAGTTGAGGGCAGGACCTATATGGAATAAGAAGTGTGTCCATTCCTTTTTTACGCAGAGCAGAGAATACCACTAAGGTAACTAGTTCCTAGAATTTACCTCTGTACTGTTTTTCTCTTAAGTTATTTAAATTTTTTTGAATTCCTTGACTTTTGACCTCATTGATTCATTTTGTAGCTTTATGGTTGTCTTTGGATATATGATTGTTAACATGATGTAGTTCCTGCTCTTGAGGAGAGTGTATATTAGAGAATACAAAGTCAACAAGCAATTAGTTTATCACAAAATGTAGGCATATGGAAGAAGTACCTCCTCAGAGTTGTTTTATTGACCAGAGAAAAGATCTGGGAAGGCTTCCCAGGGGAATGGATATCTCAGCTGAGATCTAAAGGATTGTTGGGAGAGTCACTGTGCCTTTTGGTATCTAGAGTTTGGTGTAGACGAACTGTTTTTTAAAAATGAATACTCTGTTTCGTAGCTCTTTAAGAAGTAGTAACCAAACTTTGATCTGGAATACCTGTGAACTATTGAAGGATGTTATCATGCAAGATTTCCCTGCCGAGATTTTCCTTCAGAGGCCAAAAATTGTTCAGGTGAGTGAGTGAGTACCTTCTGTAATCGTTTGATAGAGAACTTTTTGCAGTAAAAAAAATTTTGCAGAGGAGTCGTCTGGGAAGGAAATTTGTACTAATGTATTTTTTAAAATGAAGTATTTCGCTATTTAAGCTGCTTCTTCTCTAACTTATTGGGATAGTTACAGTTTTCCCCACAGGTAGAAGTCTCATTGGGCACTTGCAGTGGTATTCAGCCACCTTGAATTACCACTTATGGGTCATCTAAAGAGGAGAATAAACATTGAAAATTAAGGTTGAGCAGCAGTAAATTTATTTATTTTGAGTATCACTATGTCCCAGGCGCAATGCTGTATGCTGGACAGACACATCTGCAGTGAAGAGTATTGACAGGCTCTTTTCTTTTGTCTAGCTTCTTGCTTTTCTAGCAGAGAGAGAGTGGGAAAGAGAGGTCCAGGGTGGACATTGTGACATACAAACAACATCTCCTAGTACTTTAAGTCCTCACTCCACACTCAGGCTGAAAAGGACTTTGAATGGCGACTAGGAACACATTCTGTCACAACTGGCA